CCCTAAAAACCTGTAACAAAGATAAGGGACTCTGCAATGTTGGCATTAGGTCACAATGACCAACTGCGAAGTCCCTGGGATTTCTAGTTTTGGTAAAATGATCAAATTAGGAGGCTGGGCATGCCCAAATTAAGATACTGGTAAATGACCAAATTAAGATATATGCATGTAATGGGTTTGTGGAAACATATGCTTTTGACCACAGGGAAACCAATCAGTGGTACCTGGAAATGATGAGTCATTAGAGGAGAAAGAATACAAAAGGAGAGATTTCAGAGCAGCAAGGGGGCTCCCAGGGGGGAACCTAAGGCCACCATGGACAGCGGGTGCACCACTATGCTATCTCGCCCACCCCTCTGGGTGGGGGGTGGGGGAGACGGAGGGCCCTTGGCCCTCAACCTTCAAGGCTGCTGACACCTGTCATTCAAGCAAGAACTACAAGGTAGAATTCATGTACTGGCCAGGTGTACCATTCTCCTAGTGAAGCCTTAGGAACTGGTAGCTAAGTAGAATCAGGGTGGTTATTCTGTTTACTTTGTCTGTATTACTCTTATCTGCTATCACCATGTACCAATAAAATGTGCCTATTATCAAATGGAAGAAGTTGTGGTGGTCTGAGGGCTTGGGTCCACTCAGAACAAGGTATCTGGGTCATAAATCCAGTGACAAGTGTGTGTTTTGGTAGTGTCCCCCAAAACTTTGCCCACTCCTGCTCTAGGCTTTTACTTGGTACTCCCTGTCATGTCATATCCCTTCTGCTTTCTCCATCATTACTGATTCTTTCTTCTCATTCATTCTATTACTCACACCTATTACTTCTTTTCCACAACCTATTCCATACACTCCCATGTTCATTTGTGCTAAAAGTGGAAGACAGAAGGGCAGAGGGAGAGCAAGAAACAAGATGAAGGAAAGGCAGTCATCCCAAGTCCATCTATGAGGAGGGAAAGCTTTGGTGGTCCCCTTACTGCAGGCACTACTCAAAGCTACTTAGATGGGGATCATGGCTTTCTTGTTCTGACACAGACCTACATCAACGGCTGGATTTTGTTCTCACTTATGCTGGTGTGAGTCTGGAGTAACTTCATGAAAATCAGTAGAGTTACCCTGGATAAAACCAGTGTAACTGGTGCTGGAGCTCTGTACAATGCACATATGCATTTTCTTGCCAGCATTGCATACCATGTGCACATCAATTTTATCTCTTGGGTTAATTGTGCTCGCGTCCCTTTGCTAATCAATTGGGAAAAATTGGTTACACAAATTACAGCAGTGTTCTAAGGTGTGCACCAACTTCCCATCCTTCCCTGTGTTTTAACAATTTATGGTGATGGTTTTAAGAGTTATAGAATAAATCTCCACATGATATAAGGCCTCATTACCTTAGAGACTGTCTTTTACCCTGTGCAATTGTGTGGCACTGAGGGCATTGAAAGCACTCCAGCCACTATCCAATGGTTTAAATCACAAAACTACAGGAGGCTGGTCATTCTCAGAGGCAGTCATATGATTCTCAATTCATTTTTGTTTCAGTTCATTACAATGTCAATCAACTATCAGGTCATACTTCCATGTTTATTTGTTTTGTTCTCTGTTCTTACCCGTGGGAGAGGAATATTATGACATGATTTGCTGGGAAAGTTTCATGACTGGGAATCCAGTGGGTGAAGGGAGAATTCCTGCATTTGTATGTTGGGTATCCAAAAAAAAAAATGTTGATCTTAAAATAATTTTCTATACAGCCAGAGTACTAGATGGATGCATTTTAATAAATAATTTGAAATTGAAAGTGATGCAATACTTCACTCATTTCTGACTATTGAAGGCTCGTCACAAAAATGTTAGATTAGGATAGGGAGTCTACATGTATTTTCCTCTTCCGTTAGAGGCCATCACATACTCATTCAAAAGTAACAACCTACAGGCATACCAGGCACATTCTGGCCAGGAGTAAATGGACTGCTGCTAACTGTCAGACTGTTTGCGACGTAGTTATCCGTTCCTATCACTGTACTACTCAATCAATAATTTCAAACATACATGCTTATTGTAAGGAGAATACAATAACTATCTAGCTTGAATTCTCTGGAAAAGAAATGCAGAGTCACTTGAAAAGCCTTGCAAGGAGACATGGCAGTCACAGTAGGATCAGAAAGATTAGCCATCTGAAAGCAAGGCAATTACAAATAAGAAACGGGAAAACAGACATAATTAAAATTCTAAAAAATCAAAGACATTAGTGTTTCAGGAAATGCAAGATGATAAACAGCTACAAGTAATACCAAGTATAAACAGAAGCATATGGAATATTTATTTAACATCAAGTTACATGTAAATACAGAATTAAAAACAAAACAAAGCTATACGATGGCTATTTTTTAATTTAATTTTTTTTTAATAAGCTGAGTTTAACTGTTTGTTCAATAATATGCCTGCCTACTTTCCTCAAACACCATTACTGAATATGAAAGCACAATTAACATCCAAGGAATTACTTTACCATCTAACTGGTCATTTTAATCAGGGTGAGTGACATTCACCCTCCTCCAAGAGTCAAGCAAAAAGCTAACATGTCTTAAATCTGAAAAGTCTTCCAAAGAGTACTTAAGAGGTGGTGTAAAGCCCCATGCTGAATTCTTTCCATGGAAATGAATTTTATGTTAATTGTTTTGACTGGTATAATTATGTATTTCTGAATATCTGACCACAGGGCCTCTTCTCGAAAGAAACTGATGACAAATTCTATGACACACAAGGATAGTAGGTATCACAAAGGTACTGTTTCAATTGAAATACTATGCTTCTGGCAGCTCTAGAATTTGAGACTTGACATGACTGAACTAGTCAGGGAAACCTGGGATCATATAGCCAATAAAGTGCTCTAAGCTGTGAAATAGGTTAATGATCTATCTGACATTTGCTGGATATAATCCACTAGTTTCAACTGTCCTAGCAGGCATTTTGTGCACTACAATTAAAAAAAGATTTGTTGCACTGCACACCAGGAAAGTATCCAAAAGACAGAGATGCTGTTGGTCCAGTCTTTTTGCAATGCACATGAGTCTATGCAAAATGGGCAAAAATTGTGTCCAGTGAAGCAAAAAACAGGATGAAGCTATTCTAAAAATATATATTTTTGTCACGAATCAATGAAAAGCACCCTCCCCTTCCCCCAGGGCTTCATCCCTTTGAGAGCACACCATGGTAAAGCCGCGCATCCCAGAGCACAACTACTCTATGTTTCTGAATATTGATTACCATGGTAAAATGGTGCATTCTGATTTAAGATCTTATAATGGCCTATCATCTTTTGCATTGCTTTCATGACTGCCTTTCCGGTAAAATGCATTGCCATCGTTTTCTTTACTTCCACCGTTCCTTATTGAACTGACATCAACTGTCAAGCATGACACAGGTAACAATATCAGGGCTTTTACTGCGTCCACTGACATTTGGCTGTGATCTCCAGGACAAATTAATTCTGCTACCCAATCCAAAAAGTGTATTATGTTCTGTAAATGTCAGTATATCGTCTGTAAGACCTCTCTGTTCACCACTGCTCTCCACATAGCCACTTAGCAGGACCTACAGGTTTCTTGTCCTGCCATATCTTTTGTTTTCAGTCTGTTATCCTGGCTAGGTCATAGAGAGTGTTCTGCTTCTCGAGCCTGCTCTTGGTTGCAGGGATACTCTGGTACACTAGACTGCTGACTAGCTTTGCTTAAGGCTGCAAAGTTTGCGCAGGCAGTTTCATTTGTGCAATACACTTTGTGACTGCTCTATCAGTGTCCTACTGCCAAAACTGACATTACTGTGCATTAGCCAACTCTTTGCAATCTTCCTGATTGTCTCAACACGTCAGGGAGTAGTTTTATACAGGCCGCATCCTTTCACTTGAGAACATTTTCTCTGTATATTCTTTGCCACTACAAACTTCTGGACACTCAAGAGTACGCTCAGGTTCCACATGTCATATTTTAAACAACCTTTGTAATGCCAATTTGATTCAGTTGCTAACATGCACCTTTGAATTATGGGTCCTGGTTTCAGATCTCAGTGCAAGATATTTGTGCACAAACATTGCTGAGAACTGCAGTGAAGTATATTAACTGAATGATAAATTACTGGAGGCATCTTCTATCAATTAAGACGCTGCTTCCACAAGTAAACATTTTATTACATAACTTATTTGTCACAGTAGTATTAGAAGTGAACAACATTTGACAGAACAGCAAAGTATGCCTTCAACTTTTTCCCTCTTAAGCACCATATTTTCCAGATTCAATAAATCATCTAAGTCTACTTGTTTGTGCTTTATGTACCGTGCATTATTTTTCATTTGACTCGTCTACACAGGGAAATGTAACAATGTAGATAGGAATGACATGACCATGCCAGTATATTTCTACATTAAAGTGTGCTTTCACAGATACTGGTATAATTCTATAAAATTAGCAAGTTTTCCCAGGTAGACTAGTCCTAATAGATGATAGGAGCATCCCCAAACTTGACAATCAATAGGGATAAGGAAAGTACCCAATGTCTTAAGTGTCCTTGTTAGTATCAAATACGAAATCAGACATACAGCTGCATTTTGACATCTCAACCAATCCTTAGTGCATCTCTGAGAAAACTGCCACTGATTTCAAATAATGTACACTTGATTGTTAGACAATAAAAGCAATAAAATAGTCATTTAACAGGACAACTAAAGTATGCTAAATTACTCATTTTAGTTTGCATGCTAGATCTTTCCCAATTAAAAAGAACCTTTTAAGCATGTAGTTTACCACCAAACACAAATAGGACTGAAAGATCATTAAAAAAAATAGCGATCAGCCAACTCCTCTGATTCAAACCACCCCAGAATGTGAACAAATTAGACACAGGAACTACACACTGATTAGTGAGAGAGAGAGCGAGAGAGAAGACACAGAGAGAATGTGCATATCATGAAATTTTTTTTAGAAGAGCATAGTCAATAAAATTACTACCTTTACCTTGATCAAAGGGCTTGTTTGGATTCCAGTTTCTGAAATAATCATCCTGAATGGGGGAGAAAGTATAACATTTAGAAAATACTTATACAATCTTCCCATTACAATCTTGGAAAAACAGACTAATCCTGCCACTGCCTTCTTGCTTTCTAAGAAAAGCCTCCCACCCCCATATAAGATAAAAAGCCACTAGCAGGATAATGTTCTAACAGTTAATTAACAACTTTAAAAACTTCTGATAAGGGAGGGTTCCAGGGTTGAGCAGTTTAGTCAAATCCTTTCTCAAGGCTGGATTTTCATTAAATAATTTCTATAAACCCCACTTCATTTCATAGCGTCTCACAACGGGAAGTGACCACGTATGGTAATAATGCAAACATTATGCTGCTTGGAGAAGGTAATCAATGCCAAAGTGGAGTGCCATGGTAACAGCATGCAAGTGTAAGCCTTCCTTCCCCCCAAATTCTTTGAGCTCAGGGCAACTCCTCTAGATTTACAGTGGTATAATGCAGCACAATTAGGGTGCTTACAGATGTGGACCCCCCCCCCCAGCAGCGCTTTATTTTCAGCTCAGCGTGCCCCTGCACCGAGTGCAGCACGTGCCCAGAAGAGGAATCGCGTCAGTTTGCCCAGCGCCTGTATAGGTTGCACGCTTCAGGGGGGCTTTTTAGCGCTTTTATCTAATAGCTGATTCAGACACTGTGGAGCTGGGTCAATCTGACACGATCCTTCTTTGGTAATGCACTGTGGGGGGAGGGGGGTTCCACATCTCTCAGCATCCTAAATTCTAAACTTTAACTATAGCAACCCTTAGTAGCACTGATGTAAGTCTGTATTTCTACCAGTATTCAGATATGAAATCCCATCTTCTTTTGCAGTTTATAAATCAGCTGTGCAAACATGTGGCTCTGTTTTTTCTCTTTTTTAAAAATCAGCTTCGATTCTCCCATAATTTAGAGCAGAGAACATAGGACCTGACTTAGGAGACAAAGTTGCTAGTGGGTCTGACCCTGTTTCCAAACAGAAGGTTGTAAAAATCTCTTGGCAGAAAGCACAGAAAATCCTGTCGTGCATTTGATGAATTTGTATTCTGTACACCTACCAAATGTTTGTATAATGGGTACATCTCTCTCACTCCAGCAGGCCACCAACTTGGGACCCAAAGTATATGGATTCAAGCACAAGCCCCTATAACTGGTTTTTACTATACTCGATATAGCTTCCTCCATCTTTTTGAGGGGAAGCGATCAAAACCGAACATGCTATTTGAGGTGAAGATGCACCTGCATTTATACAAATGACATTACGATTTTTTGGCATGCTATTCCTGGTCCTTTCTTAATTCATCCATTTTTCTACGTGCATTTTTGACAAGCGCTGATCCTAGATGACTTTATAAAGCTGCTTCAAAAGATGCCTAGATATTTTTGTTCCCCCTGAGAGGGTAATTCAGAATCCATCAGTGTGAATAAGCAGTTTAACTTATTTCTTCCATAGAATCTTTCCTTCCCTTTGTCTCCAGGACACTGAATGCCATCTCCCCTCCTGTTACCCAATCGCCAAGTTTTATTTCCTCATGCTGGTGATCCTCTTTGCTTTATATTAACTTAAATCATTCTGTGTGATGGGGAGCTGGTAGTATAGCTCATCCCGTGGGCCCGATAGCATCCATTAGACTTAGCATACAGAACTACTGAAGGAGAGGGCAGATCTGGGAGCTCCCAGAGTCATTCTTCTTCAATGTACCCAGATCTTCCCCTGGAATGCCTACGCAGTCAAGGGGAAGCATCTGCTGTTATGGGGAGCGAAGACAGCTTGCAGTCATGGCCTCTTGCCAAGCAATTGTAAGGTTATTGCTTTGAGCATCCTTTGGGGGGCTTCACCTTCTCTAAAAGGAGGGTAGTTGGGATGCTCCACTGAGTCCTGGGAGAGCAAAATCAGCGGGATACTGCCACAGGAAATGGGGAATTTGTTTTCTTGTGACATCCCCCTTGCTCCTGCATTACAAATAAGGAAACTTGCCCAGCGAGACACCTTGGCCAGTTATGATGTTCAAAGCTAACACTAAAGATGATTACTTACCATTCATTTTATGCACATCAGGAAAGCATTTTAATTGTTTTCTTCTAGAGGGCAGGACTGGGTACCCAGGACTGAGTCTCATCCTTGCTTTTGACTTGCTTAGCCTTGTTAAGCTGAAAGTCTCATTTTGATACAAGGTGGGGGGCACATCTAGACGTGCATTTTACTGCAAAGTTGACTAATTAGCTCCACAGTAAAGCATCGGTCAACACATTAGGGCACAGTAAACTAATTAACTCCACTGCAGGACCGTAATGTCTGGGACACGTACTATCCTACAGTGGAGTAATTATGTGCACTCAAATGGACATAGAGGCTGTGGCGGGGCTGGCTGAGGCACAAAGGTGTTACAGCACAGGGGCTGCCTGCTGCCTAGCCCCACGCTGTAGCACCCTCATGTACTGGGCAGCCCCTCCGCTGCCTGACACTGCCACCTGAAACCCAGGGCTCACCTCCTGAGCTCCCCTGCCAGCGCAGGGCTGCTCCACAATGGCTCAAATTGCTGCAGTCCCAGGTGCACGTGAAGATAGTGCACCTGGGAAGCAGCTGACTCCAGCATGAACTGCACCAAAGGTTTTTCAGCTGCATTAATAGCATGTGTAGACAAGCCCAGTGTGTAACTGTAACCAGCATGAACTGCACCCACCTTACTGCTAAATGTATTGATTATTAATCACTTTTGATATATATTTTTTTATCTCAGTCATTTTTTTGGTAGCAAAATATTCCTTTACCTACTTAAATATTCTAGGTGTTCATTTTACTGCTGGAATTTTAGTAACAGAAACTGTTAAATAATTCAAATCCCAAGGAAGATTTCTATGTTGTTGGCATATGGAGGAGGGTTTGAAATCAGGATTAGAGGATAAGCTTGATGTATGAAATATGCAGGCACTTGAGAGGAGAGCTATCTTTAATTCAGTGTCAAAGGATCATTTTAAGACAAACACACCTTGCTCTTAAAAAGGGCCAAATGCACCTACTTTTTGCCCTGCATCTATTTCTGCTATTCCTGTTCTACTTCTTTCTTTTTAAAAAGAAGCAAAATAACCATATTGCCTTTAGAACATGCACAAACAGTAACCCACAATAACATATGAAAATAAGTATGAAAAATAAGAAAAACAGCTACAAAAATGAAGAAAATATATTATATATATACAGTTCATAGCTATATATACATACACACAAGACATATGATTTAATAGACTATATTAAGCTCTTCCTTATTATACTATACTAAAATATGACTTCTTTTAAGTGTATACATTATGAAAAAACTTATTATTTCTAAGCATAAAGAATTTCAACACTCATAGCTACATAATCTTGTTATAGTGATATAAGGGATTACAAAGCAGTTGGACGAAAGAAAACAGGGCTGTCAGAGCTGTAACTGGGTGGATGGTGCAACCGGGCTGCTGGTGGCTGCTATTTTTGCTACCTGCCATCCCCACCCTTCCCTGTATCAGCACCTTGGGCTGATGTCCCAGTCCCAGTCCCTACCCCACAGTTACGATACTGTAGGTGAAATGTTTTGGTGTCATAAGGGTGCAATTTACCCATTTATTCCTGTACAAAAGGTCAGACAGAAAGTCAATTGTGTATTTAAGCCCTACTTAAAACTCTGGTTTCAGTAACATATTGGTTTTGTGTTAGCTCCCTGCAGAGGGGCAAGCAAACTGCAGTGCTGACACAGCTCTTATTATCCTTAAAAAGTGTTTGCATGGAATGCCACCAGGATTGCCACCACTGTGGCAAGCAGTAGACATTTACCAGGTAAAAGGCAGAACTGAAAGCGTAAGTCTTTACAACTTGAGCTAAAAAGCCAGGGTTTGTAGCTGGGGTTTGTAACAGGGATTTGTGCCTTTGAGATTAGGCACGGAGGACATAAGATACACACTGGAAGTGTCTACACATTCATGAATACACTTTTGCTACTGCACATTAAATTGAGTACCTCTAATGTAAGGTATTAAATAAATGTGCATTACGCTGCTCTAATGCACAGTAGTGAAAGTGCACACTTTTTTAATGATGTTTAATGCACAGTAGCCTGTTTTTATTGCGCATTAGCATATTAGCATGGTTTTTGATACAACACTCTAAGGTGCAGTAAAATAGTTTTCTGTGCATTAAAGTGCATGTTAAGATGCACCTACTGACCAGCAGATTACATTAGAAGCTATCTACCCATTTCTGAATTTAGCTTAATCCATCGTTCCATACACTGCATGAACAGCACAGGTTTAACCTGTCATCAACCCTCTAATGCCCAGTGGCTTGGGGATGTAACTAAAGCAAATATTTGGCCAAATTCTTGAGCCCCAACGGATACATGAGTATCTGGCTGGGTTGTAGACATTCCTAACAGAAAGTGTAAGTACACGACACTGAGTTGGTCTCATGAACTAGGACCCTGGGCTGCATCTTTGCAAAACAAAAAAAGTTTTAGGGTGCACCTTAAGTTTGTCTCTGGACTGCCATATGGAAATCTGCCTTGCCTGCTGGGATGCAGGCAGAAGTGGATGCATCTGTTTCCTCTTTCTGTCGGGCAGGGTTGAATTTTTCCCCAAGTCAGCAGCATAGCTGATGGGGGAAATGAACACAGCTCCGTGGACAATTAGGTAGAATTCCCCCCCTTCTTCGTTCATCGACATCTCCAAAATGTCTTGAGTCTGTTCAGCACCTTTCCATATCATTAATGAAATGATATCAGTTTATTGTATGCACTTTTAAAACTCAATGAAGTAATTCTAAAATAAATCACAACTATTCGTATTACAAATAAACTAGTCACTAAATCTATCCTGCAGTCCTTCGGAGAAGATTTCTGGTATTATAAGATTGATTTAGAATTTACTTTAACCTTTATCCAAATAATTCAGCAAGAAAACATAAGTAATAACTGAAAGTTAAGCTTGTATTACACCTAAATGAGCAAACATCAAATAATAAATATATGCGTTTGATAAACCATTCAGATGCATTAGATAAACCAAATCTATGGGATGCATAATAGAAAAAAACGGGGGGCTTTGCAGGATTGGAAATAAAATATATGTTAATAATGGATATTAAGAGTTTAGAATGTAATATACATTATATTGCAAATGCTATTATTTTATTTACAGTTTAAAAGTGAAAACCTACCTCAACTTCCTGAGTACGTGAGCATTACAAATGAGAAAAGAAAAAAAAGAATGAAATCAAACAATAAAAAAGAATGTTAATATTTTCCATTTTTTCCTCTCAGCAAATTTTTAAAAGCATAATCACTAGACTCAGGAGACCTTACCCTTCAAAGTACATCTCTATATTTTATTATTTTGATGAGCTACTAACATCCATTTTCAGTCATAATTTAGTTATTTTATCAGCTGGATTACACAGCCAAATGCCAATTTGTAGTCACTTTTGTGTCCACAGAAAATATGGGATCCTAAAGGGCTGTTCATTTCCTCTTGGCTTTTAAAAATTTCCTTTGGCTGGAAATGTAAAGTCATCTTCCACCCCACCGGACACCTAATCAAATAGATTTTTTAAACAGCTTTTATTTCCTCAAGTGCCTGAAGAATTTAAAATAGATTTGTTCAACTGAGTTTTGGTAGTGAAAGTAAAACTGATCATGTTTCCCCCTCTATTCCTTTAAGTGATTATATATGATATGGAGTTAAACACAGGCTTCTGTTTGATCTGTTATTTAACTTCAGTAGTACCTGTTTCTTTCCTAGACCTAGAAAGTTTGTCTAACATCTCAAGAGTTGGTTTAATAAAAGATACCACCAAAGCCCCTTGCTTCTTGCATATCACCTGGACCATTAGAGGTACAACACCATTGAAACCCTACTACTACATGCCTCCTTCCAGAATTCTGAGACTACAATCCTACAGTAGATAACATAGGTTTTTTTTAATTATTTAAAAAATAAAATGGCAGTTCTTTGCTGACAGCCTATTTCAGCATTTACCACACAAGGAATTTCCATCAAGAGGTATTTTCCTAAGAGATCAATGGTAGGCTAGGAGCCTAAATCAATTCCTTAATTATATGAGGACTAGGGCTGTGCAAAGTTTCAGTCCCTGATTTGATTTGGTGGAGGTTTGGCCCAATTTGGTGATCCAAATTGAATCAGGAGACCCTTTAATCTCTCTAAATCGAATTGGAACCCTGCGAATCAATTCAGAGATATTCAGAAAGTTTCAGAGATTTGGACATAGACATGGCTTTAAATGTTTTTTCTATGTACCTCGAGACACCAGGCGGCTCGTGAATGCTGCGATGCTGGGGTGGATGGACTGTCTGACAGGAGCGCGGGGGACTCCCCAGCATGCACGGTAGTGGATCCGGAAGTGGACCAGAAGCACTTCCGGTCCACTTCTAGGTCCGCTAGGGAGCACGCAGGGGGTCCACCCTGCACCCTCCTGGTTTAGTGACTGGTGCCTCCTGGGTCGGGGGGGGGCACCCGGGGTCCCCCCGCAGTCAATCAGCGAGCCAGGAGTTGTTGGGGGGGGCCCAGGGTGCTCCCCAGTGGACCCAGAAGTGGACCCAAAGTACTTCCGGTCGACTTCTGGGTTCACCACCAAGCATGCAGGGGGCCCCCCCACACTCTGATAGGATGCTCCATCCACAGCAGCATCACAGCATTCACAAGCTGCCTGGTATCTCAAGGTATGTAGAAAATACATTTAAAGCTGTGTCTGTGTCCGAATCGCTGATTCTCTGAATCAGCCTCGAATCTTCAGATTCGGATTTGGCCGAATCAAATCGGGGACAGCAATCTGAATCAATAAATCGAATCACTGTCCCCAATTTGGGCTGAATCCATATCGAATACGGCCTGTTTCGGACACCCCTAATAAGGACAGTGATTCCCAAAGGGCATGCTGCTGCCAAATTCCCAAGGCCCATGGGGTGGGATCAGGCCTATGGATTAGATACATAGCTCCATCCTATGGACAGACCTGGCACCATTCATCTGGCCTATGGGACCAAATGGTTGGGCACCACTTCATAAGTCTTACACACACACACACTTTTTCGGGTGTAAGAGTGAAATGTACTGTTGATTTTATCCAGAAAAGAAAGGGTGCCCAGGTACTAAAAGTTCTTATAAGGAAACGTTATATTAGGATGAGATTAATTTCCTTTCCAAGGGCCTGGCGGAGGTCCATGCACTACTAACATAATGTGTAAAGGCTTGAAGTAGAACTCAAATGGTGCATTGGACTTCTGCAGGCTCTCTGCATAAGGATATATTTCATTCCTTATCACATGCTTATTTGCATGGGGGAGTGCCACAGATTGACTTAAAAGTACATTAAAATACTAGAAGCCGGATTCTGCTATCCTTGTTCATATTGAATAGTACCATTTTGTTCAGCACTATTTGTGCAAGAAAGTTTCATACAGTGTGAACAAAGGAATGAAAAGTATATCTTAAGTCAGAGTTTTTGCTTACAATACTTTGAGGTTAATTTTAGGCAAAAGCAGCAGTAACTGAAGATCCAGCAAAACACACTATTTCATACCCATATCACAAATCCCCAAACCACAGGATGTATTAGAAAAGTAACATTCAGGAACTTGGGTATAAAAATGTAGAGGTTGCTTTTGAAAGTTTGGAACTTACCAAAATATCCAAAATTTACCGTCTACCTGCTTAAGCTTATCGTATGATTTTTAAACTCTTCATATTGATATGGAAAGAAACAGATAAGAGAGGTATACTTTAAAATATGAATATTTTTGGCAGCTTTGACTCAGCTTTTCTGGGGAGTTCAACAAAATAGGGAATAAAGGGCCCTGTGGTTAGTTCAGTCAATAACATGGCAATATGGACACAAGCATATGGTTACAAACGGGTCAAGCTTTTCAATATAGATCATTAAGCAGCATATGAAATACCCTCAGTTCCTTCATGCCAACTCTCAATAAAACTTGATGCTCTTTGTTCATTGGGACAGGCAGGAAAGAGAAATATTCGTGATCCATACAAAATGGATGTTCCCTGGGCCACGGGGACTTCCGCGTTGCTCCTGAAAGTGCTGCTGAAAAGCCCACCTTTGCCCACTCTTGTCAAACCACTGCTCTGAGGATGTCCCCTGATGGATGCTGCAGACAGATCTTGTAAAGTGGGGGCAAGCAGCTGGGGTGTGCTTATCAGCAGGGCTTCCACAAAAGCAATAGATATGCCTTTATTCTGGCTCCGATGGCTATTCAAGCCACACACAATGCTTTCATTCCCTGTGCACTTTCTGCTGCCTTCCCAATAGCCTTACAAAGGCACTGCCTTTTCTTGGGCTGATCCCAACAACAAATTTTGTGGGAATTTTAAGTACTGACCACAGTGAGAACAAGATGCAACCCTTTCAGTGGCTTCCCTCACCTCTCCTTGCAAACCCAGTATCAGCCTGTGGATGATACTAAGCAAGGCAGCTGCAGTGGGCCTGTCTCACGCATACATAGAAAGACTCAGCACTGAATGACAACAGTTAACACCTGCAAACCTATTTACACTGTAAGCAGTTTGGGAACAGACAGTCTTTTTAGGCTTATTTTTTTAATCCAGGCAGTACCTAGCACAGTGAGGATATGGTCCGTGACACGAACTCCTAGGCAATACGATCAGGCTAATAATAACACTGCAACATCACGCTGAGACTCATGGAAAGCAGGTATGCATCGCAGAGCTCTTGCCTTCATTCTCTATTGGATTTTTACTACTTTGATTTGGGTAATCAAAAGATGAGATGAAACACATTTTAAGATGATTTACAGCCCTTTCACTGTATCTCACATACTATTTTTTTTTTTGCTAACAAAAGCAAAATGTTCTTTTATTATTCAGAATTCATGTGTCAAACCTAGCCAACTCAGATTGATACTGCCATCAACAAAGTCAGTCTAATGAATAACCAACCGTATGTTAAATTAAGGACTGAAAAGGCATATTTAAAAACTGCTAGTTCAAGAAGCTGGTATTAACACTCACAAAAGCCTCAACATCCATGGCTTTACCCACTTTCTTACAGATATCCTTAGAGGCCCCATCCATTTTTATCAGGACTTAACCCAAGGACACAGGAATACATATGACAATCCAGCCTTAAAGTTGTGTACAAGCTGTGTTTGTACACTGACTGGATTCAAGGCAGCTCCTTAGATGTTTTCCCTGGAGCACAGACAATTATTTTCAGTCAGACAGCGCATAATGAAGTCATCTCAGGAAAGACCAAATATATTGTGGCAAAATGAATTTATCCCCTCTCCTAAAAGGGAGGATATGGAAATCGCCTGCTATTTCATCATCCATCTAGATGATATGTTAAAACTGACAACCAAAAATATGATGGAGGCAGAACTTTTCAGAAATCTCATCAGCCGGGTTTTGATTTGCAAAAAAACAAACCTTGAATCAGAGGCGGTCCTAATGCACTTTTCTATTAGTCACATCTGAAAACCCAAGGATGGGACCCACCTCTGAAGACAAACCCACTTCCAGGCGCTGCGGGAGGTAACATGGTTAAATCAGGAGATGGCAGCCCCCGATTTGTACCCCCTGCTTTACTTCTCTCCTCTACACAATGCGATGAGTGTGGTTTTTCAAAAGGAAGACCCAAAGTAAAGGATACATGAGTGACTTCAGCCATCGTCTCTGGCTTAACAAGGCAGCAATGAACAATCCAGCTGGCACTCAGCTCCCCCAAAGTTTGAGCATTTCCAGAGGAACTCCCACCGAGCTGCCCCCTGTTATTTTTTAGTTTAGTTATTCCCAAACACTTGACATTTGCAGAGAGTTAATGAAGCACAGCTGAGTTAATGCAGAGGCGCCTTCTATACATATTTTGCTCACTTGTCAAAAAGCAGCTTTCACAAGATGCTTTTGTTTGTAACTAGCAAGAAACATCATCTCAATGGGTGTATAAATATTTATGTTTTGTCACATTAATTGCACTTATCAGTTATTTGTATGAATTTCCTATAGATGAGATGTTGACAGAAATAACTCCACAGGAAATCCTCCTCCATCTGCAGCATTCATGAATTTGGGGGAACTGGGATGCTCATTTGAGGCTTGGTATGGCCTCTCCCCCCTGGAGGCCTAGGGAAAGCATACTGGGAAAGCACAGCAATCGGTAAAACACAACCACAGCTACTC